CTCACCACTCTCACTCTGCACTCACTCGTACTCCAATTAATCATATCCCCTTTTTATGTGAGTATGTGCAACCTTTTCACCAATCCGTCCGTATCTCGCTCCAGCTCATCGGCTCAAGATATAGAGAGAGCGCCCCCCAACCACAATTACTCTCTCAACAACAAAATAAAATTTATGAGCTATTTTCGTAATATCTCTATGATATCATTTCCATTCCCTCACCAAGACCCCTCCCTCCACCCCACCACCGGCCCACCCGCCCCCCAACCTTAACCTCCCCCTCATTCCTTAACTCTGCCTATTTGGAAATCTCTTCTCTTGACTGAGCGCTCCAAGTTGCTGCCCACTGTTGTGAGCCTCCAGCTTGAATCTATACCGAAATCCCCCAGATTGCGAGCGACTTCAGTTTCTAGTACCTGGAGTGTTAGGGTGAACGTCATAAATAAGTGTTACCAGAATAATTTGAGACAGCATGTGCAATGCTCTGTTACATACCTACCCCAGCACTGTCCATACCAAAATCATCATCATGATGTGTATGTGTGCTAATAAGGTGCCTTAGACCCAGAAATGTCATCGCCCAGCTCCCCCTGAAGGACCGCCATACCTCCCCCTATCGCCGGCACCTATCGTAAGGTTTAGGGTGCCCAGGGCGCAGAGAAGCAGGAGTCATTGCCGCCCCATTTCACAGGCTTCCCCGGAGATGGATTGTAGCTCAGACGAGTAGCGGCAAGACATTGCTCACATCCGAGACCCCCCATACATAGAGCGCGTGTCACACCCGACTCTCATTGCACTCGACTAGAGAGATAGCATAAGACTCTTAGTCGTATAGGGTGTAGTGCCACTAGTGAGTACTGTAGTTGTTGGATTCACTGATTTGCGATAGAAACATCAGATTCTGGTTTGTAGGTACGCGTTTGGTGTGAGATGTTGCATTCAGTCGACTAGGTAGATTGAGAGTTCATAGAGAGTTTGAGTCGAGGGGACAGTGCCGACAATGCATCTTTATATCCCAGCTTGGTGAATGGGCGTCACTGATTGTGCTGCTTTCTAACCCTTTCAGCTAACCTACTTGTGGGATCTTTAAATAGTGTTGCGTAGGTGAGGGTTCTCTCGCTGGTGTAACTGAAGTCCAATTATCTGTAAATGTGTCTCTTGTCCGAAGAAAACTACGCGCTGACTATGTCTACCTTGTCTTCTCGCCTCGCGCGTGTAAATGTCAAAGGACAATACTTGATTTGATCACCTTTGCAGATCAGCAGGAGGAACTCAGATGTCGTAGAGGAACCAAAGCAAGAGGCCGCCATGTTCGAGAGTGGAAGGCTTATCACTCCTGTCAGGTCTTGTTGGTCTAGACTAGTAGTGATGAGGTGTTAGGATTTATAGCCATGGTTTATGCAGCCACACCTGATATAGCCATGACATTCCACCTTCTTGATGACGCTCCCGTATTGGGAGCCGTCTTTACCGTCGGAATCCTCCATCAGAGGTAATTGAACTGTGAAGGAGCCACATAGTAAATAGAGCTGTTTTGACAGGCAAAATGTCTGAATAGGGTAAGAATCAGTCCTATGCCTGTATTCTCTCGCTCATCACTATTGTAGCATTGTTTCTGCACTCTCGTGTGGCTTCGGCGTAGCGATGTAGGTTCTTATGAGTGTTACTACGATTTAGTCGACGTTGTTCCAAGTCTAACAAAGCTAAGAGTCCCTCTGCTCAATAAATGAGGACTGCTTTTACCAGTTCCCTAGCATTTGCAAGGATGGTTCGTTTGAGAGTGGACTGTTAAGAACTCAAATGACAAGTGAGTGATAGGTCCGCGTTTTTGTTGTGCTGTGTTTATGTCCTGTGTAGGATATCGATGTTGCAACCTAACCCCACAATACAAGAGAGTCCTTGGTTCGAATCTCAGAGCGTTTTCACTTACCGCGAGTATGATCTCAAGAACCCGTGTTCTCTCAGAACCATATAAACAGTTGTCTTCCCAATAGTGTCCCCCCAGATGCTGTCGTTGATGCTCATATATCAACCTGGTCAGTAGTGGCTTAATCCCTTCTGATGTGATCAGCGCAGTGAGATGCGTCGCCATGCAGTTTCAGCGCACCCAAACCCTCAAAGAGATCATACAATCGCGCCAGACTACACGAACGATATCACCTCCTTCAAGCGACGTTCCGAGACCTGCCAGGCACATCCTCGCTCTGCCGTGACACACAAGGCACCAATGCACAATACCCCTCTCGTGACCTTTATGCTAGTGTGGCTCCTTTGTTGTCTTTTCCATATCGCCATCGTGAAGCCAACATTCCCTTGAGAGGTTGGAGTCGGTGTTAGGACCGGCTTCAAGATAAGGAGGTCACTTAAAGCTAAGCTTAGGTGAAGTGCCGTTTTTTCCAGCAGAAGGTGCACTACCTGGGTCATGTGATTTCTGACCAGGGAGTAGCCACTGACCCCGCTAAAATTGAAGTGGTAGCAAATTGGCCTGTGCCCACCACGGCCACTGAGTTGCGTTCCTTTTTGGGATTTGCTAGCTACTACCGTAGGTTTGTGGAAGGGTTTGCTAAGATGGCTGCCCCCTTGCATCGTAGAGCAGCGGAGCTAACGAGTAAAGAATCTAAAAAGAAGGCTGCCCGGAGTATTGTTGGAGCCTGGACTGAGGAGTGTCAACAGAGTTTTGAGGCCATTAAAACCAAGCTCACCTCTGCTCCAGTCCTTGCTTACGCAGATTTTTCCCTCCCTTTCATCCTAGAGGTGGATGCAAGCCATAGTGGTTTGGGAGCGGTCTTGTCACAAGAACAAGGGGGGAAGATAAGACCCATCGCTTTTGCTAGCCGCGGGTTAAGACCTAGTGAGCGGAATATGTCAAATTACAGCTCGATGAAACTGGAGCTGTTGGGCCTGAAATGGGCAATGACAGAAAAATTTAGAGATTATCTGTTGGGCCACAGATGTATTGTTTATACAGACAATAATCCTCTGAGCCACTTGGATTCGGCTAAGCTTGGAGCAGTGGAGCAGCGCTGGGCAGCCCAGCTTGCTTCCTTTAACTTTGAGTTAAAGTATCGACCTGCTAAATCCAATCAAAATGCTGATGCTCTGTCTCGTAGGCCGTGGCCGGCTCCATCGGAAGTGACTTCTTTGGTTTCAGGTACTCTTGTGCCTCAGCCATTACAGCTAGCTGTGCAGAGTGAGCAAACGCAAACCATCCAGTCCTCGGTAACTGTCTTTCCTGCTCTTGCCCCTGGTGATCTCTATGTCCTCCAGCAGGCTGACCCGGTCCTTCAAGAAGTTCTTGTCTTTTGGCAGAGAAAAGAGCGGCCAAATCGGACTGAGCGGCAAGGGCTTTCACAATCGGCTCTTGCATTGCTAAATCAGTGGGATCGCCTGACTGAGTTGGATGGGCTAATGTATCGGCGAGTGTTCCGTCCAGATGGTGGTGGGGAAGTGCACCAACTTCTCCTGCCAAAGTCCCTCACCAAGGATATCATGACCCAGGTCCATCAGGAACATGGGCATCAGGGAGTGGAAAGAACCTTGGCTTTGCTACGGTCTCGCTGTTATTGGCCAGGTATGTCACAGGAGGTTGCAGATTGGTGTAAAACCTGCAAGCGGTGTCAGGTTGCTAAGGATAACCAGCCACCTGCTCGTGGCTTTATGGGCCATTTGCTTGCATCAAAACCAAATGAAATTTTGGCAATCGATTTTACTTTGTTAGAGCCAACTCCATCTGGTATAGAAAATGTATTGGTGATGACTGATGTGTTTTCCAAATATACGTTGGCTGTCCCAACTAGGGATCAGCGCGCCTCCACTGTAGCGCAGGTCCTGGTCACTGAATGGTTTGCAAAATTTGGAGTACCAGCACGCATCCATTCAGACCAGGGCCGCAACTTTGAAAGCACTCTGATCCAGCAGCTGTGTGGTCTGTATGGGATTGTTAAATCTCGTACCACACCTTACCATCCAGCTGGTAATGGCCAATGTGAACGTTTTAATAGGACGCTTCACAACCTGTTGAGAACCTTGCCCACGTCCCGGAAACGAGACTGGAGCGTTTGTTTACCCCATTTGCTTTATGCATATAATACCACCCCTCATCAATCAACTGGTGAGTCACCATTTTTCTTAATATTTGGTCAAGAACCACGTCTTCCAGTTGACTTTTTGTTGGGAAGAGTTGAAAACCCAGTTCAGGGAACTGTTCATGAGTGGGTCAAAGAACATCAGACTCGCTTGCAAATAGCATTTGAGGGTGCTAGAGAAAAGTTGAAGACTTCTGCTGGACGCAGAAAGGCTAATCATGATAGAAACATAAAAGAAGCTCCTCTTAAGGAGGGCCAGTTTGTGTTGATCCGAAACTTGGGGAGCAAAGGTCGTCAGAAATTTCAGGATTTGTGGAGTTCAGTGACGCATGTAGTTGTCCAAGTCCCAAGGGAGGGTGGTGTAGTGTATTCAGTGGCACCAGTTCATGACCAGACCAGGGTAAGGAGGGTACACCGCTCTTTGCTGAAGGTCCTGATTGGTGCTAATGCACCCAATTCAGTTCCTGTTGAGGGTGCATCTTCTGAGTATCACTCCATTTCAGAGGACGAGCTGTCTCTGGAGGGTGATTTGTTCTTGAGGCCTTGGCCTCAGGAGCAGGTACCACCTGCCTCACCTGCCGCTGTGGTTTCTGATGCTGGACCAGCTGTGGTTTCTAGCGCTGTCCCTGGGGCTTCAGGACCTGCTGTGGCTCCTCCTGGTATGACCTTGAATCAACCTACCTCATTAGCAGTGGTACCGGTGGCAGAGTCTGGTCCCAGCGAGGTTACTGTGCGCAGATCAGCACGATCAACTGCTGGCCAGCATCATAATCTCCATCATCTTCCAAGACCCGTAGTAAGAGAGATGCCTTCATCTAGTACCATGTCTGCTGTATTTCGACCTTGGTGTTAAGTTGGATCATTGCCGGGGCGTCGATGCAGTTTGGGGGGGTGGAATGTGGCAGTATGCCCTGGTGGGCTTTGAACGCACCACACGGGTGCCTAATTCTAATTGGTTGTGGCGCTCGCTGGTTGCCTGTGTATATAAGGGGCCCTCCCTCACCGGGTTGACATTGCATTGTTCTCCTTCCGGTTCAGACCTCTGCGTTTGTTGGTGCTGCACGCCAGGTAAGGCAGGCTTCTTCTCTCTCGAGCAAGTTTATTAATTTTGATTTATTTTCATTTTTTGTATAACAGCTGCAAATGAATGCATGCACTTAAACAATGCGCTTAACGGCATACTGATTGTGGACCAATCGTCCTTCGGACTGCCAGTACAAGCTTCCCACGCTTTCCTCCCTGTAAGAGGCACTACTTAAAGAGCTCAGTGGTAAGCACAGTGCTAGTTTTTGCATGCTTTTAGATTCTGTTTCTAATATTTATTTCTGATAGCCGCTGCTGTTTGTCCTGAGCCGACTGTTCGCCTGCGTTGTTCGCCTGTCAGCTGGGTTATCTGTCAGCTGCCTATCTGCCGTCCTGTTGCTGGCTTCATACCTGCCGCCCCGGCCGGCATAAAGCTGTGACTTCTAACACTCGTCCAGCGTGGCTGATTGGCGATCAGCTCGGACTTACTCTTTTGGTGCTGCGTGAGTGACGTCCGCCACAGCGGATCGGTTCCTCCCAGGATGGGCCTTAATTCTGGACTATACTGCTGTTAAATTGTGGACTGAACTGTATTATGGGAATTGTACTCTGAATGTTGTTTTTTTTACAGGAACGGTCAGCTCGTGGTGTTGGTGGTGGACTTCTGGGTGGTGGTTCCTCTTCTGGTTTGGTGCATGATTTTCTTTTGCTTTGCCTAGTTCTGTTTGCTGTGTTTATTTTTTTTCTTTTTTGTACCCTACCCTGAATTTCACTCCTCACAGAGTTACGCTTGAAAAAATTTTTAAATGTGAGGTTTTAATTTAGTCTTTTTGAATTAAACTAAAAGTTGTATAATAAAAGAGTTGAATGGTGAGATTGTCTCAAGCCTCATCTGTAGCGGGTCTGTGTGCATTAATGGTAACATTTTAAGCGGAGTCATTAAAATCTATTAAATCTTTTCTTACCTGGTGTTTCTAAATTGAAGTTACCCAAATCTTATCACACCGCTCCCGCCACATTAGGCTAGCTTTGACTCCAAATATACTGAAAATGATACATCAAAAAGAGTTTTCACTTAGTTTTGTACTTTTATGGAGAAGGTATTTCCCAGCAAAAAGTGCACCTTACGCAGACACCGAGCAGAGGATGCTCTTTTTGCTGTCCTAAAGGTAGCCAGACTGGAAAAATTCAACCAAGTGTTGGGCCAGCTGCACATGGGGTTCATCTCAAGCTCAGTGTATGACTGTGATGCTCCATAGGTGAACATAGACAGGAGTCTGACCTTCTATCGGTCCTGGATGTGTCTAGACATACGGAAATAACAAGCTCCCAGCGGCAAAGTAAAAAAGTAAAAAAAATATGTTTTAAATAGTTATGCCTAGAATTGATTCAAATGTATAATGCTTTGCATCTGAGCTTATTTCATGCCTAAATAAACTTATCCAAAAAAGAAAATGTTAAACTAATTTACTGGAGAAGTTGGGCAGGTGGTTGTTCCCAGCTCTGTGTTCACAAAAGGTAAACCATAGGTGGACAAGTGACAACAAGGAAACATAAAATATGAAGGACACTTACTTCAGAGGACCAGAATTGCACACAAATAAATTGGATAGTCTAAAAGTCTGTAAATTATTATTTTATTGGCACTTTCCAATCTCCCTCTCAGCAATAACCAATCTTCTATAAGGTTAAAAGGAAAACCACCCTTGTAAACATTTATTTGATTGTGTAAACTGGTAGAATATATGTATGAAAGCAGGTTAAACATCCCACCACAGAGATTATATAAAGTCCTGGAAATCTGCAAAAAATAATAAATTCTTTATCCCCGACTTGATCTCTGTGCTGCCAATGTCTAACATTAATTCCCAGGTCATGGGGTAACCTTTTAGTTTCTGTGTTGCACTGATAAGCTGGAATTATTTTGAATCATACTAATCCTGTATTTCAGTAGTCATAGGTTCAGCTTTTTCTCCCTTTCTGCTCATGAATCTTTCCCACATTGCCTTATTTCAGGGTGCTTGGTTACTTTATATAGTGGCAAACTTTTTATTTTGAGTCCTATCTTATTTCAATCATGATGCAATTTTGTAAGATGTATAACCTTATAGCTTTAAAACTTTTTAGTATCAACCTTAACTGTCTCGACATCAATCTTGTGTCTTTACGAACATCTGATTTAATTGTATTTTTTGGTAAAAAAAAATTAATGCAGACCAAAATATAAGGACAATGAGTTTCCCGTGTTAGCATTTAAATAAAGTCATATGAATCAAAAGTTTAAACACCTAGTATGTTTTTGGAATTCATATAGAGATAGTTGGCAACTAACATTAGTTTTACCACAGTAATTAAACAATTACTTTCCCACTAGATAGAAAACTATAACTGGGTGTGGCCAGAGAGAGGTAATTGTCAGGGATCTTTTCTGAAAGCTGCTGTGTTTTATTTTGCCACCATGTCCCTCTTCCTGACAGATTCATGACATTGCAATCAAATTTCTCCATTGGTCAGGCGAAACAGATCATGGTCTACCTTGGTTTAGTCTGCTTCCCAGGTACAAACTCAGGCATTCAACTTGTTTCTTTTTCTTATGAAATCTACAACTTTAACCTTATCTTGTCCCTTATCTTGTTGCTCCCTCAACTTAATTTCTGGACATCTATGGTTTAATTTCATTGTATGCGTAAATTGCATGGATTGTTACCAACATCTGGTGAAAATGTCATGTCAATAGCACTTGTAGAAATATATTTAGTGAGAAAAATGGTGAAGTGTTCACTACTTATTTCACCCACTGTATATATCCTGTTTTAAACTAGGATACTGCAACGTCATTGGCTAACCAGTACTGTACGTGTTCGGGCTCGAATGATTTAAGCTGAAGTGGTATAAGATGGATTCTTCTTTATTTGTGAACTCACAAATACCACAAGAATTCCTTTAATTTGCAAGCGAATTCAAAACCCTACAGGCTAAACTTACATTTTTTAATAATTCTGGCTTAAACATGTATATAAATGTACTCTTTATCAGACCATATTGTCCCAAAAGTTAAAAATGTTTTCTTGAATTTGATCAAAACACAAAAATAACTACATACAAGTCCCTCTAACTACATTTATTTATCAAAAAAATTCACAATAAGAAAATACATCATAGTTGACCACATGTGAATGTGTTATATTATATACACTATATTGCCAAAAGTATTTGCTCACCTGCCTTGACTCACATATGAGCTTAAGTGACATCCCGTTCCTAATCCATAGGGTTCAATATGACGTCGGTCCACCCTTTGCAGCTAGAACAGCTTCAACTCTTCTGGGAAGGCTGTCCACAAGGTTTAGGAGTGTGTTTATGGGAATTTTTGACCATTCTTCCAGAAGCGCATTTGTGAGGTCGCACACTGATGTTGGACGAGAAGGCCTGGCTCTCAGTCTCCGCTCTAATTCATCCCAAAGGTGTTCTATCGGGTTGAGGTCAGGACTCTGTGCAGGCCAGTCAAGTTCATCCACACCAGACTCTGTCATCCATGTCTTTATGGACCTTGCTTTGTGCACTGGTGCACAGTCATGTTGGAAGAGGAAGGGGCCAGCTCCAAACTGTTCCCACAAAGTTGGGAGCATGGAATTGTCCAAAATGTCTTGGTATGCTGAAGCATTCAGAGTTCCTTTCACTGGAACTAAGGGGCCAAGCCCAGCTCCTGAAAAACAACCCCACACCATAATCCCCCCTCCACCAAACTTTACACTTGGCACAATGCAGTCAGACAAGTACCGTTCTCCTGGCAACCGCCAAACCCAGACCCGTCCATCAGATTGCCAGATGGAGAAGCGCGATTCGTCACTCCAGAGAACGCGTCTCCACTGCTCTAGAGTCCAGTGGCGGCGTGCTTTACACCACCGCATCCGACGCTTTGCATTGCACTTGGTGATGTATGGCTTGGATGCAGCTGCTCGACCATGGAAACCCATTCCATGAAGCTCTCTGCGCACTGTTCTTGAGCTAATCTGAAGGCCACATGAAGTTTGGAGGTCTGTAGTGATTGACTCTGCAGAAAGTTGGCGACCTCTTCGCACTATGCGCGTCAGCATCCGCTGACCCCGCTCCGTCAGTTTACGTGGCCTACCACTTCGTGGCTGAGTTGCTGTCGTTCCCAAACACTTCCATTTTCTTATAATACAGCTGACAGTTGACTGTGGAATATTTAGGAGCGAGGAAATTTCACGACTGGATTTGTTGCACAGGTGGCATCCTATCACAGTTCCACGCTGGAATTCACTGAGCTCCTGAGAGCGACCCATTCTTTCACAAATGTTTGTAAAAACAGTCTGCATGCCTAGGTGCTTGAATTTATACACCTGTGGCCATGGAAGTGATTGGAACACCTGATTCCAATAATTTGGATGGGTGAGCAAATACTTTTGGCAATATAGTGTATGTTTGTTATCTCAGTTAGACATTTATCATCCTCTTTTATGTTATTTATGTGACTCTTAGCAAATAGCAACTGTTCCCTTTTTTTCTAGGTGATTTAAATGAAGAAGTCTTAATTTTACACAAATGTAGTTAAATACTGTCTTGTGTTAACCTAATGAAAATTACAATCACCTCTAAGTTGTTTCCATGCAATTTTTTTTATTTTTTTGTAAACAAGAGAATTAAAAAGCTGAGTCTAACAAAGGGTTTGGTTTGTACTTTTACAAAAGCCAAGCTGCACCATGACTGGTTTAGTTTTCATTTACAGTTGCCTCTATAATAGGTTTCAATATGAGCTAAAAAAGCTTTTTTATACAGAAAATCCCAACCTGAACAATATCTAAAAATCATCGATCTTATTAGAGAGCAGCTCTCCGTTCTCCTGTATGTGGTGATATGCTCCAAATCTTGAATGTAAAAAACATTGATCAGAGTTTTAAAGTCAGTTAATTTGCTGTTTAAATTGTTTTTTAAACATGCATTTGTGTCATTTAAACTTTTACTACCAATTGACAACAGAATTGCTACTTTAAAGTATTTTTTAAGATACTGGCAAAAAATGTGGCACAGTAGTTGTCTTGGAGTGGGGAGATTGTAGGGGTATGATTTCAGCTGGCCTGGGAAAAGCACTTGACCTCAAGTTGCCTACCAATTTATGAATATGAGTATGTGTGTGATTAGGTGAATTGGTTCCAGCATAAAGGCCTAAGAAAGGTTGACAAGATTAATGCCTTTTAAATGTAGCCCATTTAACTTTACACAGTGTAACAATGTGATGCTTCAATTTCAATTCCAGTTGTACTGTTGCCTTCAAGGCTCCATTTTGTTCAGATCATTAAATGTCTCACAGCACACATTGTTGCCCACTTTACTTAGCTGCCACAAGGCTCATCTCTATATTGAGTTCCTCCATGTTTAACTCTGTGTGATCCAGAGGGTTCCAGGCAGTGAAGAAGTGATGATAAGTGGCTAATTCTGCCTCTTTCTGCTCTACATGGGAGCTTGTCAGACTTGGTTTACAGGTCTGGTGCTGCAGTGTAGCCCAATGCAATAAAAGCGGTGACAAAACCACCATAAATTTATAATTTACCTCCCAGTCGCCTGTACCCTAACCCATTTAGTTGTTTTGGTTAAATGAGAACCTATTTCACTGTGAGTTTTGTGTAATGGCCTCGTATGTCAAGCCAAGACTTATATCTAACCTGGCAGAGTATAGTTGTTCACTGCTTGCAAAGTTTGCCTGAGTTCTGACCTGAAGGTTGATGAGATTACAATGGATTTTCTTTTCAAAGCTCAAATTCATTTCTTGTCATTATAACATGCTCCACTTTATGCTCTCAGTTGCCATCAAATTTA